AAAGAAACAGCAACTTCATCAAATGTCCCCAAATGATCCCTGTGCATGTTAGAGAGGCAGGTTCCAGCTTTAAACTATTTTTACTATTAAAAAGGTACAACAATGTGAATGTGACGTGATTAAAAGGAGATGAATTACAATAAAACCGGCTTGCCAGTCAACCAGAAAATTATAAATAAAAAAATAATAAGTTTACTGGCTTATCCAAACTTCTCAATATATTTTTGATCACCTGACTCCTTTGGGAAAATGTGCTTATTAAAAAAGAGGATAGAACCTAAAAGTCTCATTTATGCTTATGTGCTATTGCAGAAATAGAAAAGCACTCAGCAGTTAACTTTGCAGTAATTTGAGGAACTGTTCTCATCATAGGGAATAAGTTAAGCTAGTCACGATTCTGAGTCAATTCTCTAAACCACAGTAACTGTAGCTCATGTACGCCCAGCTGATGTATGCGTTCTTTCTTCTTTATACTAGAGTCAAAGGCGGGAAAAGTGTTTGTGCTACAAATGCAGAAAAACACAGATGCCAGCGGTAAGATGTCTGACTGCCTTTGAGCAGTGTTGGGTAGTAATAGATTACTCAGCAATGAGTTCTTACACTACTCACTAAAAAACATTCTTCTAGAGAGCTGGAATTTAATTAGACATGTTAAACCAACTCTTTATAGTGCGTCTCTATCCTGATGGATTTATAAAGTGTCCAGCTGCACTAGAAAATCAAACTTCAGACTGATATTGAGCGTTACTGTAAAATTAATGTTTATATGGATGTTTTTATTTGACGTCATGTAGTAGTCTATAGATGTAAATCTGTCTCCTTTATCAGCCTAGCAAGTAGTGAAACTCTTCATGTGTGTTCTTTGGTCCTAGTGCTCTCTGTAGTGTGTGTGTGTGAGTGACTGAGAAATACATAATATAATAAAAATAACAGAAAAAGCAGCAGCACAAACAAAGACAATGTCCATTTTCTTCTTTTACGGTGGTACTCTTCTTGGAGCTTTCTGAAGCTTGTTTTCCCCTCCTCCAGGCTCTTTTTATCCTCCTGACGGATTTGTTCCCAGGTTTCCTTTCTTTCTTTATCCCAGGCCTCTCGAATTCTCTTCTCCTCCTTTCTAGACAGCTCCAGCTTCCTCTCAGCATTTTCCCTTAGCTGTCTCTCTGATTGAACTATTTTCTCAGATGCATCCACTTTTCTTCTCCATTCCTGCCGCTGACTTTCTTCTAGTTTTTTCCTTCTCCTTTCCTCTTCCTCCCGTTCTTTCTTTCTCTCCTGGCGCTCCTTGTTGATGCATTCGTCTTTGTCCTTCAGCTGTTTTGCCGCCAGTTTTTTCTCCTGTTCCATTTCACTGATTTTCCTTTTCAGTGTTTTCAACTCTTCCTCATGTTTTCTCCTGAGGTCCTCCTCCTTTCTCTTCATCTCTTCTCCCTTCTCTTTCAGAATGCTCTCCACTTGTATTTGTATGACTTTCTCTGTACTGTCCAACATCTCAGTGTTGTAGCAGCCGCCATTTTCCTTCACCATGGTCTCGATCTTGGTCAGCAGATCACTGACTTGTGTGCGGTTTGTGTAATCTTTGTTGTTGAAGACCTGGTATCTCCCTCCACAATCAGTAATGAGTTTTTTAACAAAGTCAGGACAGTCGTTGATGTAGCTCTCAAATGACTGATCTTCCAGATCATCTCCTCTGGTGAATATAACGATGATGAAATCTTCAGACTTCTTGCCAAAATACTTTTTGATCAGTTCCACCGAGTCTTTTTCCTCCTGTGTAAAGTTCCCGATCTGCAGCATCAGTAAGAACACATGAGGTCCTGGAGACAACATGTGGTTGCATTTTTTGATCTCCTTTTGAATTTCATTATCAGACAGAGTCGTGTCGAACAATGCAGGGGTGTTGACCACAGCCACAGGTCGGCCGTCAATATCTCCTGTTGCTTTCTCACAAGACTTGGCTGCTGGCTTCGGGGCGATTCTGGGTTTGAAATGTTTTTTTCCTAAAATGGTGTTTGCTGTTGCACTCTTCCCACTGCCAGTCTTCCCAATCAGCACCATCCTGAGACTCTCGTTGCACTGAGTTTCATCAACACCTCCCATCTCACCCTGTTTCACATCCTGCAGTTCAGCATTAAGTTTTAAAACCTTCTCCATCTGAGCTTTGGTGAACATGTCCTTTGTGAAGCATCTGGATCCTTCAACTCCAATCGTTTCCACAGCTTCCAACAACCGGGGAATCTGCTGTTTGTTCTTGATGTTGAGAACAACATATCTTCCTCCACAGCTCTGACGGAGCTCCTGGATGTCCTTGTTTTTGTTAAGAAACTTAACAACAGCTGGAGCTGTAGGATCTGAGTCCACAGTGAACAGAATGATGGTGAAGTCATTAACTCGAGAGCTGAATGTGTTCTGGATGGTCTCTAACTCTCCCTTGTCTTCATCAGTGAGGGGAACCTACAGGTAGGACCAGGATGAAGGCATGGACGCCCTCAGGATCACAGAGGGAGATACTCCTGAGTGATTCCTCCATCACTGCCTCCTGAGGTTTTCCATACAAGGCAGGCAGCTCCACCAGGGAAACCCAATGTCCACACACCTCTCCCTGATGTTTAACACACTCTGATGAGTTGGAGACTGAATGAAACTCTGTCTGACCTAAAATGGCCTTGGCTGCTGAAGTCTTCCCTGCTCCTCTCCTCCCACACAGAACCAGGTTTAAAGCTGGTTTGATGGGTTCAGACTCAGACTTTGGTGTCATGAATAAACCCGCATCCTCATCTTCAAATACATCACAGCTGACATGCTCTCCATTGTTCTCTTTTGCAGTTTGACCCAAGCGTGTTAACAGCTCTGGACGTTCAAGGTTTTTCTGATTCAAGTATCTGTATTTACACAGTCTGATCATGTCTTTTAAGGGGTGATGTTGCATATGATCTTCCATGATAGCTGGACTCTCCTCTCTGGGTGTTGATATCAGAACCAGAGAATGATCAAATGATTGATCACTGAACCTTTCAAGGATTGATTGTAGTCTCAGTTTGTGTTCCTCAGTGAAGTCTTCAGGCTGTAGAACCAGCAGGAACACATGAGGTCCAGGATCAGAGAGTCTCACACAGTCTTTTACAAGTTCTGTCAGTTTGTCATCAGAGATGTTGGGATGCAGCAGATCTGGAGTGTTGATGAGAACTATTTCTTTCTCCTTTAACTGTCGTCTGACTGTCAGAAAGTCTGGTTCTTCATCAGTGTTGAACTTAGTCTCTCCCAGTATGAAGTTCCCCACTGAACTCCTCTCAGACCAGCTGTTCCCCAGCAGAACAACCCTCAGCTCAGACACTGAAAAGAAAACAGTGAATTAGAAATATTTATTATCACTGAACTTGACCTGATGTAAGACCAATATCACAGCACTATGATGAAACGTAACTGTAACTGGTGGACCTTCTTCTTTTCAAAGTGACTATCTAACTCCAAGCTGCCTTTTATATCCAAAGTCTTAGAGAATGAAGTTGCTAAGCATCTTACAACTGTATCAGATAGCATAATAATGATTATAATAATCATGTAATAATTGAAATACTGAAAAACTAAAAAACAGGGTTACGTTTAATTACTGTTAACAGACTGTTATTGGCAACAGACTGAGGCAGTGGGTGGGTATCTCTAGGTCATTCTCTTCTACCATCCTCTCTAATGGGACTTTCTTAGTTGCTGTTGGCTGATGCCTCTTCATCTGAAACTCTGGTTCTATTTTCAGGTGTGCCCCAAGGTTTGGTTGCTGGTGCTATTCTGTTTGCCTTGAATATGCCTTGGGCAGATAAGACACTCTAACCTGCCAGGCGTAACATTGTCATGATATTGTTGATTCTGTGCATCCTAAAAGCTCTCTCTCTCTCTCTCTCTCTCTCTCTCTCTCTATGTGGTGCAGGTTTCTATCTGCATACTTGTTTTCACTGCTTTTATTGTTGATTGTATTTGATAACCTTTTAACAGATGGTAACATCTTAACTACTTTTTTCAGAAAAGTTGTCATAATAAATTGTCCCTGTCAAATGAAGTAATAAACTGAACTATACATCTATTTTAATAATAATAAAGTAGCAAAACTGTCAATTGAAACTAAAAAAAACTAAACTCTATGGATCCCAGGTTATGGAAGGTCTCAGTTCTCTTTTCTCTTCTGTTACACCCTCACTACAAAATGGTGGCGTCACTATGAACCAAGCTCTGATTGAGAGGTGTTAATTAAAGTTACTATTGCTTATTTGTTATGGAAATAATGAATCACTGGGGCAAATGTTTAATGCAAAAACAGTAGTGGAGTGGAAAGTGAAGTAGTTCAAGTTCAATGCCTGTGCCTCTGCCAGTATATCTCAGTGTAAGTGGAGGCACATGGTGCTGTGTGTGGCTTTAGCTGACAGAGATAATCCAGAATCATATTTATGAACACTGTTCTCTGTCAGTTGATTCAATTTAAGTGGCCCTACATTAGCGGTGGGAATCTCAAAGCACCTCACCATTTGATTTGATTCCGATTTCAGATCGTTACAATTATCAAGCAGTTATCGACTATTATCATTACAATGTTCATTTAAACCCACACACAGGTTTTATTTCACAATACACTCAGGCTTTGGCAATAAAGATGTCCTGAAAAAGATTATAATTGATTTATATAATAAATATAACTAAGTATTCCTTCTAGGGCAGCAACAGTAAAGTTTAAACCACAAAGTCACTCAACAATATATGTGGGTCTGTTTTTGGTTGTGGTAATAATAATAATGTTAGGAGTCCTTTCCATATGCTAATTAGTTCATTTATGGAATAGAAAGTATTGGTTAAAGATCCAGCTGTCAATCTGTTGTACTTTTGTAGGTTTAGTAGCACAGTTACTAAAGGGCTTTGTGCTCTGACAGCAGCTCCACATACACACTAGCCAGTACCACCAGTTTGTAAAAATACCTCACAATACACTCAAACACAGTCACATTAGTGGAACTTACTGGTAGGGGGAATAAACTGATAGCTGTGGCTGTGGCTCAGAGGCCTCACTTTGTTACTCCCTTCTGTAAGAAAACAGAAATATAATATTTCAGAAAATCAAACCTCACCCAAATTAACATTTCAAATTCCTTTATAATAAAACCCCTGGTTAACCCTTTGTTCACTCTCTTCGTGTTCACTTCTTGAGTGTGGCATGTAGTGTAAAGCACATTGAGTGGTCAGAAGACAGAAAGGTGTTATACAAGTACCATTTACTGGCTGCTGATACTGTAATTTAATTATTAATCAGAGCTCCATATTAATAGTTTAGTGTATTTTATGAGAATGAGAATCAAATAATTGGCTATAATGATCCCTTCTTTAATATAGAACATTTAATATAAATGTATCATTAATTATTATCTTTGATCATGATCTGATGTTAATGAATTGCACCAGTTCAGTTTGGTGCCCTTCTAAATTATTCTAATTCCCAACCCAGTATACGGTTCTGTACTTTAGATATGGTTAGTTATATACTTTAGAACTTTAGATACTATTAGATAGATATATAATGTGTGTAGTCTGACACTGGTAGATATACTGTAGATACTGTTGACAGACATGAAACTGCAGATACATTTAACCAGGGAGACATTTTGACGCTCAGGATTTTGGTGTTGAACATTCACTGTGTATGTAGCTCGACCACAGCTGCCTGTCTGTCTGTCTGTCTGTCTCTTGCAAACAAACAGACACAAATCAAAGGAAGCATATTTGTTTCATTATTTTGCACCGTAGACTGCAAACCAGACACATCAAAGCTGGGTACCACAGCTGGGAGAGTGTCACAGTCTGTTCCACAAACTCAGCCTGGATAGAGCCTGTTAGAGAGATACTTCAGGCTGACTGTGGAGCAGTTTGATTCCTGGATTGGCCACTGGCCGCCCCTGTGGCCCCCACAGCCACTGCCTCAACCCACTACTGTTATCCACAGTGAGTGTGAGGAGGGGTGTTTACCACAGAGCCCTTACATCTATCAGAGACAGCTTTAAACGGGCAGCCACTGCAGGCCTCCACCCAGTCTGCAGGTAAACATCTGGAAGGCATCAAAGCGAACAAAGCGAAAGGGCCCGATGAAACATTAAGATACTGTGGAACAATAACCCATTGGAAGTACTCTCAGAAACATAGTGACATCAATATTATTATATTACTACTATACTATTACCAACCCAGAAAAACACTACTGAATATTAAATGCTGTCTCCAGCTGGTGGTATAGATTTGTTCTTACAGCAGACGGATGAGGGTGAACGTTTGTCTGCTCAGAGAGAACTCAGATCACAGGATCTAGACATTTTAATTCAACATTAACTCTGAACTGAAGTCAGAGCTAATGCATATTTCTGCTGTCAATCCGACAGTACTCACCAGATTCTGCAGCGGCTGCCATACTGTCACTGTGTGGAAACACCAGAAGAAGCTCAGCTGGAAACCAACAGCTGGTTTCAAAAACCTTTAAACACAAAAAAATAAAAAGGGTCTCATTCTGTTGAACAAATCAGTCTCTAGGACGTCTTTACCAACCTGGAGCTACTTCTCTGTTTGCAGTTGACTCAGTTAGCGCCATGTTACTGTTTGCCAACTGTAGGTCTTTGAACTTTATGGTCCAATACCAATTATTGCAGCTGGTACAATACCAATTCGCTTTCTCTTGCTCTGTTTTAAGAATCTCAGGTGGACATTTACAGCAAAAGCTAATTTTATAAAGTCACTTAAAGGACATTAAATCATCACAGTAGGCCTATATCTCAACATTTGGTTCACTTCTGTGAGGAAAAGTATGTCAGTCAGCTGAATGACAGAAAAGAGGGTGGGGGCCACTGCTTTAGATGACAGCCTTTAGAGGAACTGACAGATAAACCTGCAGTGTTAGCAGATTCCAGGGCTGAAAATGTGAATGCTTATTATATTACAGGGGCTGGGTGGTGCTTATCTGCACTGGAACACTAATGAAAACATTCACAGCCTTCTTCTTGTTAATGTCCAGAATATACAGCATTTCAACCACAGAAGAAGAACTCCTGCAGGTGAAGGACAGAGAGTGAACAGACAGCTGTCCAACAGGCTGCATTCATTCAGGTTCAGTGCTGTCAGAGAGCAGCAGCAGCAATATTCTCTGTACTGTAATAAAACTCTACTTTATTGTACATTAGATGATGGCAGTTAATGGTTAACTTCCTGTCTCTGCAGTGCAGCAGGTCACTTTACAGCTAAATATGAAAGTTTTCATCACAATAGATCTCTAAATTCACAATCTGATAACATCTGCACACACACGGCCTATCGATCCATTTCCGCTCTAAACCAGCAGATTCTGTCCCACAGCTGAAGTCCACATAGTCCACATACCGGTGTGCAGTCTGTATAATGTGAACGATATTGATCAGGATTTTATTTACGATTCTGATGTTGTTGTTTGTTTGTTGTTTAATGTTTTATCACCGCAAACAGTTAGAGAATCAGTTCTGTGTATTTGTTTACGGCCAGTGGATCTCAGTTCGCGGGTCTCGACGGAACATTAACATTAAACCCGCCATCGACCGTTTCATTAGCAGAACATTATAGACATTATAATAACACATCTCTAATAACCTACACAGAGTTATTCATCTATCAGTTATTTAGTTTGAGTTCACTCACCAGCAGTGAATTCTTACTGCGCCATCGACCCAAAGTGAAAGTAAAGACAGATACTACAGAACCCAGAATGCAACCTGCTGGAGGGCATGTCAGTGGTTCCTATGGAGGCTGTGGTCTGCACGGTTATTATACTACTGTAGTTTTCATTAGTTCTTTTATTTATTTCGTTTTCAGCTCAGTTCAGTTTCACTCCGTTTCTACAGCTCGTTTCTTTACTTTTAATTGTTTCAAAGGTTTGATTTTAGTTCCAGAGTTAGTTTTATTTATAGTTTTATTAAACTATGGGGAATATTTGTTCAGAATGTGCGTTACAATACCAACACACTGACTCACAGTCTCAATAAACGGATCCACTAACGTCTCCTCGGGTTGTTGTTTTGGAAAATTTGACCAAATAGAAAAAAAACATTTCCTGTACATTTTTATTATATTCCAGTTATTTATGCAAGGACACAATATTGTTTCAGTTAGTTTGGGTTATTCCAGTTTTTAGTGAGCTGAATGGTTTGAACTATAATAACCTTGGTGCTTTATTGAAGTAAATATCCAGTTGAATGTCTGTCAGTGTTTGTGAGGGTCTTTGCTGACGTCTTAGTGAAAACTGTGATCCACAATATTCACAGGAAGAACATCAACGCTGACTGAAATGTAAAACAAATAAATCACCACCAAAGCACAGGAGTAGAAGATGCTTACATCTTAATTTAATGTACTAATATTTTTAGTCTTAAAGAGCAGGAGGGGTATTAAAACTTACTAACTATAAAATGAACACTCTCCTCTTTGTCCAGATGTCTACAGTTTACAGGATTTCAGTCATTTAATGAATCAATAAAGTTGTCAGTGTGTAGGAATTGAAAATATTGTCTCAAATATAGAATTCGTATTCATATTTTGCATTAAAATGAAAGGTGCTGTATTAATTAACATTGTAGCTTCCTTTGGACATTCTTACAGTTAGCAGTCCTCTCCCTTGTTCCCATGTCACCACATGAGGGTGTGGATGTGGAGCAGTCTCATAGGAAAGAATGAGCGTATTTATGTAAAGTGTCATTAACTTGGCTGTACAGTCAGCATTAGAGTTTGTTTATTGCTTTAATGAAACACATGTAACTGCAGCAGGAACCTGTAGCTCGTCTGCTCCGCTCCGGTCCAACACACTGAAATTCTGCTGCCTGGATCAGTTCTTCTGTTCGCTCTTCTTTTTACTGCAGTTTAATGTACTGAAATATGAAAGACACTAACATTAAGACCACCTGGACTCCCTGACTGGTCCCAGACCAACAGACTGCTCTGCACTGTGTGTTCTGACCCCTTTCTATCAGAACCAGCATTAACTGTTTCAGCAGCTACAGTAGCTCGTCTGTTGGATCGGACCACACGGGCCAGCCTTCACTCCCCACCTGCATCAATGAGCCTCGGCCCCCCATGACCCTGTCTCTGGTTCTGTTCCTTCCTTGGACCACTCTTGATAGGTACTGACCTCTGCAGACCGGGAACCCCCTACAAGAACTGCAGGGTTGGAGATGTTCTGACCCAGTCATTATTCACTTCAGCTGTCAGTGCTCCGAAGGTTACGGCTGATTGGTGTATATTAATACGTTTCTGATAATATGATAAACAAACCAAACTTGTTTTCATTCATTCAGTCACAGTATGAGAATTGTACAAAGAAATAAATCCCCAAACTGCCTCAACATGAATGTCTCTCATTGTATGTAAATGTAAATGTATATATACATGCACATAATAAATAATGCAATACAACAAAAATAAAAATGGGATGATCACCGATAACTGAACCAACAACTACATAAATGTGCAACTTAAAGGACATAAAACCAGGTCTCAGTACGTGTCGAGTCCTGAGTCTGACTCTGTTCTCAAGTCTGAACACGGATCATTAAAGCTAACATTTGTATTTGTGTGTCAGTTATGTAAGATCCTACTGTTGGTGGCCTCCTGTTGCTGAACCTCTGCAGTGGACTCTGGTATTTATGAGCCTGAGGGGCCACCTGGACTTCTTCAAGAGGCAGCTGATGCATGTTGGGACATTTTTGACTTTTTGGTGTTGTGGTGGGTCCTGAGCAGTAATTATCCACGAACAATAATTATCCACACGTTTTGGTTCCTTTAAAGAAGTTAGGAGAGAGATATATTTTATGTTTCCACCAAATCCCCAAAAGGGCTGTGAGAGCAGATAGTGGAACATTTTCTGTCTCTATCACATTCTACATACACTGAAGTCAATTTAGACTTTTTAGTTGCTGTTGTTGTTGTTGTTGTTGTTGTTGTTGTTGTTGTTGTTAACACTCAGAGACAAACTGATTGGAGATGTTTGATGGTGTACTTTGTTGAGACGTATTTAGCTCCATATGTGTAAATTAGGAGTTCCACCTCCGCATTTAGAATAGCAAAAATCATATTAGAGAAGTAATAAATAAAGGAGAACAGTATAGAGCTCGGCATTATTTTATATTTTTAGTATTTTAAAGGTCCAGTGTGTCACATTGGACATGGCTGTGGCTCAGAGGCAGAGGGGGTCGTCCACTAATCGGAAGGTTGTTGGTTCGATCCCCGGCTCCTCTCGCCACATGCAAATGTGGCATGTACTGTAAAAGCACTTTGAGTGGTTGGAAGACTAGAAAGGTGCTGTACAGGTCCATTTACATTGAGGAGGATCTATTGTCAGAAATATAATATAATATCCTGTATGTGTTCTTTAGTGTGTAATCAGCTGAAAATAAGAATCGTTGTGTTTTTGTTACTTTAGAATGAGACGTTTTTATCTGCCATGTTTCTACAGCAGCCCAGAAGGGACAAACCAAACACTGGGTCTAGATAAGGCCATGTGCGTTTTTTGCACGTTTCGCAGATGCCGTTGTTTCTTCTGTGTGCTTGGAAGGGTGGTGGTGTACGGCTGCGCCATACGATCATACACAGTCTCCATTTAACCCATCCTAAGTACCAGGAGCAGTGGGCCGCCACTGTACAGCCCAGGGACCAACTCCAGATCTAAGCCAGTGGCTTGGTCAGGCAGACATCCCATCCACAGTCGTCAGTATTTTTCTGCTTGTGGTAAAATAATATGATTTAAGTTCTGGCTCAACTGTTTACTGTTCACTTCATTAACAGTCAGCTAGGATTTTAGGAATAGGGATTAGTGTTTGTGCGCGGTGGAAATATCAGTCTGTTTTTAAGCTGTCACTAACTGAAGTCCCCTATATGGGGATTGTGTACTGTGGTATAAATAGAGCTATAGGGCCTTCAAAACATGCTCATTTTGTAAATTCAGGCCTGTTAGTGAAAACAGTTTCCACCGCTGGTTAACAGATCCAGATGTTTGTTCTTTTATGTTGTGAGCGTCTTAATGAGGGTTATGGAGGAGAATGAGGTGCAGCTGGGATGTAAAGTGTTAAAGGTCCTGCAACCTGTGGATTTATAGATCCCTCTCTGCAGCTCCGCAGGGTTTTACATGTTCATCACATCTGGGTCAGGAGGCCCTGCATGCCTGCAGCGGCGGGGCAGGCGTCTGCATGTCTGCTGTCAGGACGGACGCATAAATACCTGGACGTCCAGATGCTGCTTTCACTGTCAGACTGTCTGTAGGTGGACGACAGAAGAGGAAGCTGAGAGACATCAACATGGTTCCACTGAGGCTGGTCGCCTTCGGCTGTGAGTATCTGCTCTGCTTCTGCTTTCATAACCCTGTTTCTGTTTGTGTGGATTTTAGTTTTTATTTATTCTCTTTCTGGACCTCCAGAAACTGTCAAACACTAACAGTAGCAGAGTGTTTCCAGTCTGTTGGGTGGTGTAGTACGGTAGATGTATTCCCTGGAAGCTGTTGTATCCCAGTGTGACGGAGGAATAGGAATTGGGGAGAAATATGGCAGATAGTGAAAGAAATAATTCTACTTTTTGTAACTTTATGATTAAAACTGTATTTAGTTTGGTGATAATGGAGCATTCACTAGTTTCCTCACTGGTCAGTCAAATGTTTAATGTATCAGAGGTTTATCAAAGAGTGTCTTATAATAATTCTACTGAGAGGATTTAAGACATTTCTTGGTTTCTTACATTTAATTTTTCCTATATTTGAGCTGATGATTTTGTCCTCACTTTATATTTTTTGAGTGAGGAGACACATCCAGAACAGATTCAGTGTCAGTTCATGTTGTGAATTCCAGCAGTTTACAGTGTGGAACTGATGAAAGCTGTGTTGTGTTTTCAGTGCTGGCTGCAGCTTGGTACTTCACTCGTGCTGCTGGTGAGTCTTTAACACAACTGAAGAACATTTAGTTTGCTCGCTGTCGTGCTGTGTTTCCATCATTTGTAAAACTAAATGTTGTTAAAATAATGACAGTTGATGGAAATGTAATAATACACTTTGACCTGTGTGTGTTTTAACAGAGGGAGAGGTGATCTATGCCTGTCACAATGACACAGCTACACTGTCTTGTGGTAAGAAAACACGCATCGTCCATAAATAACAAACTCTTTGTGATATATATTGGATTTATTCACTTTCAGCACATAATCCTTCATTTGTTGATTTACCTTTTGTTTTTTTGTACAGATTAAACAAGTCAATTAATCAAGTCAGTTAATTAAAGAGCTGGTCGGTGGATTATTTTTACCTTTGCACAGAGCCGGGCTAACTGGCTTCATGTTTACTGTACAACTTTTAACCTGATATATTCAGTCAAACTTGTTTAGACTCACCCTCAGTGTAGATGGATGATCAGGTTCCACAGGGGTTCCCAGAACAAGGACCCCAAATAGCATTACCTTATCCTCCTGCCCTCTTGCAAGATGTCATTTAAAAACATAAAAAAACAAAACATTGACCAAAACATGAAAACAACTTCTGAATATATTTCCTTACTTTTATTAGTGTAATAATTATTACATGTATATTTCAATGCCTACAAGTGGCTTATTGGACAAATACAAACGGTGCAGATGTAACAGAAATATCTGAGAGGAGATTCATATCATATCAGATTTAAAAGCAAAGAAAACACAAACAGACAGTTTACAAATGAAATAAAGTCTTCATTCTGTGACCTCCTCTGTCCTCCTCCTCCTCCTCCTCCTGCAGATGTTGGCAGTAAGATAAAGCTGGAACACATCCTGTATAAGGTTGGAGTGGGGACGAGGTGTGGGGAGGGGAAACGCTACCCAGACGACGGACCCGACACCTTCTGCTCCTTCCCCTGGGCGGAGATGGTGGTGGAGGATCTGTAAGGAAACTGCTCCTCATCTTCATACGATAGTTTGTTGTTCGCTCGAGGAAATACCCGGAGAAATCAGTAACATGGAGATAACGGGACAATACAGAGAGCCAAAGTGAAACTCTCACTGACATTTATAAAAACTTTACAAACTAAGTCAGTAAGTCATGTGGCTCGTTTCATATGTTTAGTTAAGGAAAAAAAATTTTTTAATATGATCTAACATGAATATCTTTAGCTGACTTTAACAGAATTTCCCACAAACCCTAAACCTCCATGGGCTAAGGGTTGAGTCCCTGGAGGAGTTGAGGGGTTGTGGTTAGTTCTGACAGAACAGTGGGGACTGAATGACAGATTGTTTTGAGTTACAGCAGCTAGTGGAAAAGAAGCCAGACAGGAAACAGTGTGTGTGCAGGCCTGCAGGCGACCAGAACTACACTGACATTCAGGACTTGTTCAGAACTTCCAGATGTGCGTTCCACCTGACCATATTCTGTCTGTCTATCTGTCTGTCTGTCTGTCTGTCTGTCTGTCTGTCTGTCTGTCTGTCTGTGTCCAGCTGTGGTAACAGGAGGTCCTGTGAGGTCCCGGTCACTGAGCGGGTGTTTGGGGAATATCCCTGTAAGGAGGAGACCAGGTACCTGGAGGTGTCCTACACCTGCGCCACGCCACCACCTCCACCTCCACCTCCACCAGCGCCAACCAAACCTGACTGTACGTACACACACACACACACACACACACACACACACACACACACACACACACACGCACTGGCACGGGTACACTCTCACTGATATTTCCTAGTTCTTCACTCTAACCTTAAAGAGACCCTGTGCTTCAGTGTCTTATATAGTGTGTGTCAGAACACTGAAGAATGTAAACCTGTAATAGTAGAGTCCCCAAATACAAATATGAAGCTGAAAATGGGCATAATAACTTTACATAATAAAATACTTCAATTACCAAAAATAAAAGTACTCATTGTGCAGAAAGTCCCATTTCAGAATCATATTATATTATTGGATTATAATGATTGATGTTGCAGCTGGTGAAGGTGGAACTCATTTTAATGACTTTACTGTATATGCTGCTGGGTAGCTTGTTATTTCCCCTCAGGGAATTAATGAAGTTTTATCTAAAATATTTCACTCTGAAATGAAGATTACAGTAACAGGAAATGGAAAAACAGTTTAATCTTTCTTATATGATTTTCTTATTTTAATCCCTTTTATAATTTCCTTTAATCAATATAAATCTTATTTATGTGTCTTTTCATATCACCTAGTATTTGTATTATATTGTCTCAATGTCGTTGTGTCTCATGTAAAGCTCTTTAAATTTCATTCAACAGCTGCTGTACAAATACATTGTCCTGTCCTCTTTCTAAACTCTCCACACACAGCGCCCCCTGGTGGCAAAGCTCCAAACATTCTCATTTTTTATACTCTGATCATTGAAATGTGCTTTTGTTTTTTTCTTGTCTGCTCTTGTTTCTGTGCAGGTGAAGAAAAATCAGCCGATAAAGTCTGATGCATTCAAAACTTTATTGTTCATCACTGTGGACAGAGCGACTCATCAGACTGATCAGAGTTCAGATCTTCCGTTGTCACATCTGTCTGTTCTTCGTTGTATTCAGTTTCTGAGTGTTTGAATTCATGTTTCTAAATGCCTAAAAAAACATGTGTGAGCTTATTTACTCAAGAAGGATTTAAAATCAATAAAATAAAGTTTTCATCCTAAGTTGTGAGATAAATCGTTTCTTCTGTTTCTTCTGTTTTAAAGATGTTGAAGTTTTTGAAGTTTTTCTATGAATAATGAATGAATGAGTAATACATGTTATTTTTTGGTCATTAATTTAAATGTTTGTCATCATTCAGACATTTTATATCAGTTTTGTTATTAAAAACTGAAACAATCAGCCAATAAGATGACGGACAGAAAAAAGATTGTCGAATGAAAGAAAAAAGGGGCATGAAACACTGGGTGGCGTTGTCAGTCTGTCCAACAGGAGTCATTACTGTTCATGTTTGACTACAGTTCAAAGGTGGACCCAAATACAGAAGACAGATAAGGAGGCAGATCCAGTTGAACAGATTCATTGTTGTGATGGCAGGTTATAGAGGGGTGGAACCGCTTTTGGTGCTACTGTGCACCAAATCTACTGTGGGACTTGGTACGTAGCACAATATAATATAATATAATATAATCCTACCCACAAGATTTACTTATTTTTTCATATTAATTTAAACTATAATATATAATAACATATAATATATATGACTGCCCCACATTAGTCAAAACATACTTTTGAAACAACTTTTTCTAAAGTGGGATAACTAAAGATTGTACACACATTTTAATATGATTTATATTTATATATAACAGATTACAATATTACGTACAATGACTGTCAGAACAACCTGGAGCTCAACACTTTAAAGACAGACCTGCCCCCATCACCCTGTGTGACTCCCTAGTTGACACCGGAGTCCTTCTGCTTCCTGGGAACCATCATCATTCAGACCTCATCTCCCCCCAAAAGAACACACAGCCTTCCTGGGGCAGCAGAGGAAGTTCAACCTACCAGAGACGATGATGGTGGAGTCCATCCTCTCCTCCTCCATCATCCTCTGGTACGCTGCTGCCACTGCGGGGGACAGACTGCAGATGTATCATTGGCTCCTCTGAGAAGGTGATTAACTGCAATCTGCCGTCCCTCCAGGACCTGTACTCCTCCAGGACCTGTACTCCCCCAGGACCTGTACCCCCCAGGACCTGTACTCCCCCAGGACCTGTACTCCTCCAGGACCTGTACTCCCCCAGGACCTGCACTCCTCCAGGACCTGCACTCCTCCAGGACCTGTACTCCTCCATCTGCAGCTGGTCTCATCAACAGGTCCTGGGACCCCACTGACACTGACTCACCTCCACCCTTCCAACCCTCTAGACATTAGTGGAGAGTTATCTTGCACATTGCAAATATTCTTTATACTAAATACTGTGACCCTTTGCACATTCCTGCACAAACAGCTTCCATTTAAAATTAGTCATATTGTACTGATTGCCTTTTATTGTCTTTATCATATTTGTTCTATGTTATTGTCAATTTTCTGTTTAACCTGTTCTTCTTGGCTTACAGTACTTATTTTCATCTTTATTTACATTTTTTTCTTCTATTTATTATTATGCACTAATACACCACGGTAAATTCCTTGTATGTGACCTAATAATAAATCTGATTGTGATTATTTGATGCACAAATACATCACAAACATGATTTGACAACAAAGATTTAAATGTATAGGATAGGCTATATATATCATTCTTTTTTTATCATTCTTTTTTTTCATTGGCCTTTGACTGACTTCACAGAGGCTTTTTCTTATTGTCACACTCGTTTAGTGAGAATCGAAAGTGAAAGCAGCTGCAGTCTGAGGACGCTCAGCCGCCTGTTTGTGTCAGTCTGTCGGTGTGTTCGTACCAGGACGGCAGCATGGATGAGACCGAGTGTCCGCCGGTGACCGTGGAGGGGGACTGGAGTCCAGCTCAGACTAAAACCGCGAAGAACAAACTGCAGCTGTACTTCAACAGCAAGAAGAAGTCCAGCGGGGGAGACTGCCGAGTGGAGGCCGAGGACGGAGCTCCGAGAGCGGCCGTCTACTTCCGATCGGAGGAGGGTGAGTGTGTCTGAGTTTAATGGTTAAAGCTGCGAACAGTCTCACAAACACAGAGACACCGAGCTCCAACACTTGTGGATGAGACAGAAATAACACACAGGCCTGTGAGTGTAACTGCAACTCAAAGTGAACAAAGTCAACTGTTCCATCATCAAACACTCCTTTCATTAAGCTGTCTGAAAACCAAATTCATCTGATGAAGTTTGAAACTTAAAGTTAATTAATAAACACTCTTGTCATATGACTTCCCAGCATGCATTTCACCACTCCAGCTGCCACTCCTGATGTATTAACAACAGGCCCGGCCCTAACCAATTTGGCGCCCTAGGCAAGATTTTAGGTGGCGCCCCCCCCTTGCATCGCAATAAATTCCACTGCCAGTTATATTCATACATATACTCACGCAGGAAACTGAATAGCTTTGTCTTTGACATTTTATTTTATTTTTAGAGAAACAAGTTGCTCAATCAAAACAGTAAACAAGAAAGTAATAAATTAGAAATAAATAATACAAGAAATATAAATTGCCCACACAAAATATAAAATGTAACTACCTATAAAATAAAAACTGTAAACAAGTGATAAAATAAATTAAACTACCCCACCACCTAGTCATCCTCACATCCCCTGCTACAACATCATCATATGACAACTGATCTGAGATCACATGATTGATGCTTATGATGGAAAGTCCACTGAGTTCTTGCATCATAGCAGATCTCAGGTAAGGTTGAATGAGTTTGAGCTTGGAGAATCTTCTTTCAGCAGCAGCCACTGTAACAGGAAGAGTTGGGTGTTACAGTCTAATAATAAAAGAAATGATTCCAAGAATTAAATGAAATAATAAAATGAAAAACCTAAGAGATGCATTACTTTCGCTGTACTGTACATGAATGATATACAGTGCAATTGTTTCTGATATGCAAATTAGATTAGATTTAATCTTATTGTCATTACAGTGAAATGCTGATGAATGTAAAGAAGCAGTAAACTGCAGTATAATATAACATATGGGAATGTATTAACATTAATAATGTGCACTTTAACATGGATGTAAAGTTTAACACTATAAACACACTTTAGACAATACTGAACTGTAACACAACAAACAACAAGGCTTACAACTCTAATATATAAAGGTGTGTGAAAGGAAAAGCATCTGACTGACTGTTACAAGCAGAGCAAACGTTAGCTAACCAATAATAAATACAAATAATGGAAACAGCTGCTGAATAGATCTACTCTATTCTTTATTATAAAGTCTTATTATTGTTTAATAGGCTTTGCTATGCAGTTAACTTAATGTGGGCTTATTTCATACTAAGAAATAATAGCACCAACTAGTTTTAGTATAAAAATATTGAAAGTTGCACCTTTTTGTTTTTTTCTTCCCCCATTGTTGCGCCCCGTAGATGGACGGCGCCCTTAGCATTTGCCTATACTGCCTATGCCACGGGCCGGCACTGATTAACAATCTATAAATATATTTGCTTGTTCCTCAAAATGTCAGACTATTCCTTTAAACTAGTTTTCTGCTGTGAAATCAGTTGTGACTCCAGTGTTTCATGTGATTCCAGTGAGAGAGAGAGTCCTCGCCAGGCAGAACCATGAAATCATCCTCGACAATCAAACGGTCAAATTACGTCTGACTGCTGGATCAGTAAGTAGAGACCATGTTAAAGATTTTAAACATTTTACATTAATGTTGATGGATAATGACTGAAAACAATGTGACCTGACTCTTTCCTGTGGGGTTTGTAGTTCTAGTGCTATTTTATTTTAAACTACAGTTCCCATCAGCCACATACAATTTATACTATTAATAATTCATTCAACTTTTATAGTACAACAGAGATTTTTAATTGTCCCTTCAGACAAAAGTAGCAGTTGTTTTATAGTTGTGTTGATTTCCAAAAACACATCTTAATAGTTCAGTGTTAAAGTTCATTCTTATTATTTATAACTCAAGGTCCACTTACTAGCTTTTTCTGAAATTTGTCTACACCCTATCCCCTAAAACCTCTGTGGTCTTCCATTAAATGAACAGTTAAAGTTCCACATCGTGTTTATTGTTTCATCTCTTGATTGAAGCTAAATGATTGACGTGAAACAATCAAACTCTTAATTGGATGTTTTTTATGGATGCAACATTCAATCAGATGAAAGTATTTCAGACGTCTTGAGCATCATTTTAGAAAGATTTCCCCAAACAGATTTGTTATTTCTGAAAACATTAAAAATGTAAACTAAAGTTTAGTTAAACATCAGTTGGAGTTTATGAAGGTGACTCATAGTGTCGCACAATAACACACAATATCCAGGATTCATCATAAACATCTCTGGGCTTCCTAAATGTAGAGTTACAAAACATTCACCAGTTTTATAGAGTGAAGTTAAACATTTACATATCGAGCAGCTGTAAAACTGTTCCGTGTTGGGTTGGGCTCTTGTATTTTAGCCTCTTGAACTTCAATGTGTCATTTCTGCCACTATGGGGTCCCTCACATAGAAACAATTCAAAAAGATGTTAATATAAGTTTGATGACGTGGTGGGTTTGAACATAGTTGTAAAATATTTGGGATAATCTAAGTACACAGCTCAACAACATATATAACATTTAATTTAAAAAGTTGAAATCGTGCCAGAAAAAATCTATCAATGTATCAATATCAATGTAAGGCAAAAAATACAAAAACACAATAAGTATAAGTAGCAATTGAGAGGAGTTATAGAAATAAAAATGACGTATAAATGGTTGAAATGTAACGATACACTTGCCTCACAATTCAATTGAGTTCCTAAAGAAACTGTGTGTGATTGTGAATCTACTGCTGCCACCACTATTGCTGATCGCAGGCCCAGTTTCTGAAAGAATCCCAGCATGGCCAGGCTCAATAATCAGAGTGTGTGGTGGGTTTGGGTCACTAGCTTTACAACTCTTGGTCCAACACTGTTCAGACCTGTACGTCCAGGTGGTGACTATGCCCTTGTCAGTCAGATGTATCTTGTGGTCAGCCACTGTGGAGCTGCAACTGCCAGAAAGGGATCAGCTTTAAATTTCTGAACATGAGCAGTTTATAGTTTGCATGTGAATCAGATTTTTGGACTGACATCATTTTATTCTGTTTTAAATCTATTGATATTTTCTTCTCAGAGTCCAACGAGCAGTGATGATTTCTCAGGTAAAACTGCTTCTTCTCTGTTCAGGATTTTAAGGTCACTGTGTCCTTTTTTAACCCCTTCCTGTCTTTGTCTCTAAACTCCAAGCCCATTGGTTCCTACTGAAAACCTTTGATCGAAACACATACTTACATACTTGATTCTTAGATTCATCGACAGATTCAAAGACTCCAAAGTCGGAAGTTGAACCTGGAAATGGAGCTTCTGCAGAGAACAAAGAGGGTAAAAACAAACTGTTCAAATAAAAAGATTGTACACTAAAATTACAGGAGGGCTCTGTTCACGTGTTTTTGCATGCCTTTAATTCATTGATCTCCTCTCAGAGTCGGAGTCTGTTCAGAGCGTCTTTGTGGTGTTGGACAACGTTATGGAGAACATGTCCAGAGACTTGCTGTCCATGCTGGTGGAGAACATCTCAGGTTTGGACGAGAGCGGCTACAGTCTGGAGATCATCTGGGAGACCAACAGAGCCGTGATCACCTTTAACAGCCCTGCAGGTAGGAAACAACACAGTAGTAGCAATAAATATCCACAACTTTTGGGGCATCAAGACCAGATCCTGAATGGTCCGGTCTAAAGCAAATTGAGCCATTTTTAAAAATTTTGAAGCCAAAAAGTCTGAGCTACCTGCATTCACTGTTGGCTTTGAAATATCGGGGGGCATTCTCTAATACTAAGTAAAATAATACTATCACTCATGAAATAATAATAATTTAAGAATTGATTTGAAACTTTGTAAAATTGCATCAAAACAGACATGAAAACAGGTCACAAAATTAAAAATGAGGTAATGGAGCTACAAAGTGTGTACAAAGAAATGAGAGTACTGAAAATAAATATTCATACATAACTTATCCACAGCACACCGTCAGAAAATTATTATGTTTGTCCTGAAAATGATAATGGGTTAATAGATATGAACGAACTGAAACAAAGACTGTCTGTGTGCTGGGAGACTTAACTTGAGACTTGAAGGTAAAAATGTTGAGGAGACTTAGTGACAAAAGAAAAATGTGTTTGTAAGCTCCTACAGCTGAATGACAATCTATTGAATTGTAAATAAATGAATGAGAAAAAAGAGAAACAGAAACACCCGTTTTGTAGCAATAGGCCTCATCTATTCTCTCATCAGCTTATGAGCCTGTTTTAAAGCCTTTCTTAAAGGAGTAATATGGAGTGTTTTACAGATGTGGAGAAGTTCCTCACTGTGAGTCAGTCCAGCCAGAAGATGCAGAAATACGGACTCACTGTTCGACCGCTGGAGGCAGCAACAAGCGTCAGAGTGGAGAGTCTTACTCCGAATGTGCTTAAAGGTACTCAAACTGTTAAATATCTGTTTACCATGAGCTAGTCTGGGCGTAGATCACATTAAATCTGGAGCTGCTAACATGATACTCAGATATACAACATTTATGTCTCTATTTGTGTGTTTAAAGAGATTTGTTGTTTTGTTCTTCATATTTCACATTAACAGGGTTTTCAGGTCTTTGTTCAGAATTTATAGATGTGATGATAAAAGTACTGATTCAACTGATTTTTTAAAATCAAAAAGTACAGGCTCTTAAATGTATAATAGTAAAAAGTACTGTCTTGGTTTCTTCAAGGACATTTCTACCAGTTGTTTCTGTGCAAAGCTAACTGAAACAGGGTTGAGTCTCCCTCTCTGTCTGTTTTCTCTAGCTTTTTATGTTGTGCTCATCCTGTTACATCTGTTATGCGTGACATGCACCCGTCACAATGTTGAGAAGGTGTGAAAATAAAAAAAGATATCATTAATAATTAAAAGTTTGAATGATATGTTCAGTGTGTTGCCCACAAATTGAATGTTGCTTTCCTTTGACTTTATTCACCTGCAGTGGTCACAGCAGGACAAATACGTGCGTTTCCAAACCGAGAGAAGACGTTTTATGGACAGATTTAGGACAGATTTAGATATCAGCACTTTCTTATTACCAATTCATTTCCTTCAGTTCAGTGGTTAAAATAAAATTTCAGTTGTGAAATAAATGTTTTATTTCTGATTCCTTTCCAGACATGTTGGAGTTGTATTTTGAGAAGAACTGGGCTCTTCCAGACAGTGTTGTCATGATCCCAGATGAACAGGCTGCCATTGTCACTTTCAGTGACCCCAAAGGTTTTTCATTTAGCTTTACTACTGATCTCCCCACTGTTACCCACCCCATATTGCAGTGTACTCTAACTTTAAAACATGTGTCTAGAAGCCTAATTAAACTAAAATGGACATGTTACACACAAATAAAAATAAATATTATTCTTTTGGCCCAAAGTATGGGGACACCTAAACATTTCCCCCATATTTGATTTCATGTAATTCCGTATCCATGGAATTAATTTGTTGCTCCGCCATTCTCGAAGTGTGCTTGGTCCCGGGTCTGGCTGTGTTCACTGAACGTAGACACTGATGCCAGCTCATAGTGCTCGCTGCATGGCAGAGAGGCCATAAAGCACCCTCTGTGCTGTTGGCTAATGTCAAAGGCAATCAATATCCCCCATGTCCTTTCCTCATATTAACACGTATATTATTTCAATGTCTTGTAGACAATCCCTTACCTGAGCTTTCTGTTTTTGTTCCCTGTGTTGCTGCAGTGGTGAAAAGCATTTGCATGAAAGAAGACTATATGATGCGGTCCATTCCTGTTAAGGTGTATCCATACTACAAGTCCCTGGGCACCGCCCTGTACGGTAAAGAACGACCAACATGGAAGATGCCCGAGCCCTTCACAGAGAAAGTTCACCATGTAGTCTGGAAATTCCTCCTGATGAAGAAACTGTTAAAAAGCATCAATGATCAGATGCGTCCGTACTTCTGCAGTGTGAACTTGGATAGCCCTGATGTGAAACTCAGCCCGCTCCCAAGCTTTTTGAGGCAGAAAGATCTGACCGCCAAGCAAGTAGATATGTGGATGAGTACCGCTCAAGAGGCCTTCCGTCAGCAAATGTCTCAGTACACGGCCTTTGAATGTCCAGTGAATGCACCTGCGTGGAAAGCTGCAGAGAAAGAGCTCCGTTCAGTTGTCAGGGAAGACGCCGTCCTGGTGATGGATACATCCAGGGGGATTTTGACTGTGGCTGGACAAGCTGACGATATCAAACGAATCAGGGCTCCTGTGGAGAATATCGCTCTCAAAGCCATGAGTCAGATTGAACGACAAACAAATGGTGTCTCTGAAGTAATGAACTTGCCCCCTGCAATGTTCGCCATCCTGAAGCAGGAAGGGTTGAAGAAAGCTGCACTGGACATTTCCCCTGACATGACACTTTCCTACGATGAAGACGCTCAGACGTTAACCATTGCAGGACTCCCTGCAGAGGTTTTCCAGACCAAGGCGTGGATCTTGGAGAAGAATGTGGGTATGAGTAAAGAGCAACTGGACATGTTGACTTGCCAAGATCCAAAGAACAGTGACAACCTTTCAGGTAAAACTGCTTCCTGTCTACTTTTTCTCTGTTCAGGCTTTTATAGTCACAGTGTCCTTTCTTAAGGTAAGTGGCAACAAAAGGCCCCACAAACAAAAAGCAAATAAGAGTAATTTATTCATGTAATCAGCGCAAAAGATGTTCAAAAAATTCTAAACAATGAAATATAATTGTTTGCTCTCATTGATTTGGAATGAGATATTTTATTTTTGCTTCTTGAAACACACATATTATCATTACCTGTGCACTAGCAGTGAGTGGAGACAAATAAGCTGTTTTTATAGCAAAAGAAAATGCATTAAATCACAGGGACACGTGTATGAGACCAGCTCTACGTTTTAAATTTTTTAGGAAATAACAGACAGTGAAATATACTGTTTTTGCTTTATTGACCTGTCCAATTTTTCTGCTTCTACATTTGAAAATGAATACAGAGAAATTCCTTTTGTCAAAATAAGAGGAATTACGGAAATTGTGAAAGTAATGCAGTTGAGAGGGTAAAGCAAATTTTCATTTGTCTCCTCTCAGAGTCAGAGTCCGCTGTGGTGTTGGACAATGTTATGGACATGTCCAGAGACCTGCTGTCCATGCTGGTGGAGAACATCTCGGCTTTGGACGAGAGCGGCTACAGTCTGGAGATCATGTGGGAGATCAACAGAGCCGTGATCACCTTTAACAGCCCTGCAGGTAGGAAAGAACACAAATTACTGTCACTGTTGTCATTCATCTGATGCAGTTGCTCTCCTGGCAGTAACCTGGAGGAAATAACTACATGGCTACAGATTGAGCACCTTACTTTATCAATCAATCAAAGAAATAAAACAGATTCAAATGTATATATAAACAAGACAAAAAAGGAGAAGCAATGAAGGCAAGAAGCACTAAAACAAAACTTTTTTTTGAAATGTAATAAAATGAAAATAAAAACAAAAGCAAATAAGTAAATAAAAACAAATTAAAAGCCAGGCTAAAAAGGTCTTGAGTTTAAAATATCAAAACTCTGCTCTGCTCTACTCTTAGGAAGGCTGTTCCAGAAACGAGGACCATATTGATAAAAAGATGCCTTGGAAGATTAAAAGGCCAGTACCTGAAGATCTGAGGGCTCTAGAGGGTTCCTAGTGTAAAAGCAAATCTGATAAATAAGTAGGACTAAGACCATTAACAACTTTATAAACCAATAAAAGCATCTTAAAATTCATTCTGAAGTAGACTTCTGAAAGATGTTATGATTACTTTCTGGTCCTCGTGTCCACATGCAGCTGTGTTTTGAATGAACTGTATTTGAGCTATATGCTTCTGAGGAGACCAGAAAGCATTACAGTAGTCTCTCCTGCAGGTAATAAAAGTGTGCATTAGTGTCTCTGTACTGGCTTGAGAGAGAAACGGTTGCACTCTGGCAATGTTTTTAAGACGTTAAGATTAGTAATGTTTCTAATATATGGTTCAAAACTAAGATACAAATCAAAGATAACTCCGAAGTGTTTTACTTGGCCAACGTAGTTTCTTCTTGGTGCTTGGAAAGGAAGAGTAAAGTGTTATAAAGTGGGAGTTGCAGTATGCAACAAAACCACTAGATGCCACTAAATCCTACACACTGGACCTTGGAAAGGAGTAATATGGAGTGTTTTACAGATGTGGAGAAGTTCCTCACTGTGAGTCAGTCCAGTCAGAAGATGCAGAAATACGGACTCACTGTTCGACCGCTGGAGGCAGCAACAAGCGTCAGAGTGGAGAGTCTTCCTCCGAATGTGCTTAAAGGTACACAAACTGATAAATATCTGTTTACCATGAGCTAGTCTGGGCGTAGATCACATTCAACCTAGAGCTGCTAACATCACAAAACAGTTTTATGTCTTTTTGAACGATTGTTCATGTTTCAGTTCATTCTTTAACAAGTTTTCTTGTTTCATTCTTAATATTTCACATTAACAGGGGTGTTAGATCTTTGTTCTGAATTTGTAGATGTTAATTTTCATTGAAAGTTTCAGAGAGTTTTGTTTTTCTTCTAAACCATGCTTTGTTAACACTAGCCCTACATGGATTTTTTTTTCAGCCGATGTAAAAACCAATAATTACTTGCTTCTCATGGCTGACACCCATAGATAGAAGATAACCGATAATTTCAGATAATTTTAAATTTTTCATTTACAAAATGTGTTAAAAACCTGTAGTGTATGCACACCTGAGGATAAAAAAAGGATAAAATATAAAGTAAAATTATGATGATATCTCTGACATTACTAAATGTAACTGACCTATTGTTTACACAACAAAAAGTTCTGATCATTTATTCTCTATCATTTTGTTTTTGGAATACTACATATTAAAGGCATACTATGCAGTTTTCTGGTTTTGTCAAACAGCTCCCCCTAGAGTCGCTGTGGAGTACTTGTATTTAACGTTAACTGTCGTAAATACCACTCACCAGAGCCGTCTCTATATACGGCTCTGCGTCTCTGCACTCACGGCCTGATCCCCCTTCCCCCTGTATACCGGTACATGTTCAGTAGGATGGAAGCGTCGGACATCGAACAGGCAAAGATAGATAGATAGATAGATAGATAGATAGATAGATAGATAGATAGATAGATAGATAGATAGATAGATAGATAGATAACTTTATTAATCCCACAATGGGGAAATTCACTTGTCACAGCAACATTTGAATAAAATAAATAGGCTATAGATATAAAAAACAGGAACATTTGCATACAGCAGGTCCAAGGTCTAATTGTCTCTGGTGGTGCATGTGACAAACTGGTGGAAGGTTGGGAGTGTGGACGAGGTAGAAACATGGTTGAAGTCCCCTGTGATGATGATGAAGTCCCCTGTGATGATGATGAAGTCCCCAGTTATGATGATGAAGTCCCCTGTGATGATGATGAAGTCCCCTGTGATGATGATGAAGTCCCCAGTTATGATGATGAAGTCCCCTGTGATGATGATGAAGTCCCCAGTTATGATGATGAAGTCCCCTGTGATGATGATGAAGTCCCCTGTGATGATGATGAAGTCCCCTGTGATGATGATGAAGTCCCCTGTTATGATGATGAAGGCCTCCGGGTGTTTCGTTTGTAGTCCTGCAGTCACAGTGAGGATGGCGTCACACGCTGCTTCTGCTTTCCCAGAAGGAGGAATATAGACATTGATGATGATGATGAAGACCACTGTGAGGAATATAGACATTGATGATGATGATGATGAAGACCACTGTGAGGAATATAGACAGTGATGATGATGATGAAGACCACTGTGATGAATACAGACAGTGATGATGATGATGATGATGATGAAGACCACTATGAGGAATATAGACAGTGATGATGATGATGATGAAGACCACTGTGAGGAACATAGACAGTGATGATGATGATGATGATGAAGACCACTGTGAGGAACATAGACAGTGATGATGATGATGATGATGAAGACCACTGTGAGGAACATAGACAGTGATGATGATGATGAAGACCACTGTGAGGAATATAGACAGTGATGATGATGATGATGATGATGATGAAGACCACTGTGAGGAACATAGACAGTGATGATGATAACACTAGGATATTCCCGTGGCAGATAACATGGACGATGTCCGGGCTGCAGACTCTCTTCCACACAGAGTACCCGGCGTTACACCAGCTGTTGTTGATGAGCACGGACAGTCCCCCTCCTTTCTTCATGCCGGTCGCGGTGGTGTTCCTGTCGGCTCGAACCGTCTGGAAGCCGGGCATGGTGACGTTGGAGTCCGGTATCTGCTCGTGTAGCCACGTTTGTTTCCAGTGATGACTGCAGGGATGAAGAGTTTAAACCTCCTCTTCTTCATCCTCCGTTTAACCCCCGCTCTGCAGCCTCACCGTCTCCTCCTCAGCTCCTCCGGTATGGAGGGTCTCTCTCCAGTCCAGGGCGATCATCTGGTCGCGGGTGTAAACAATGCGACTCGCCGTCGCCATGGAGACCCGTGCTAACAAAAAATAAAAAGTGCTCAAAAACGCCGAAAATGTATTTAGGCGACGTGAACAAAGTAGTAAGAAAGTAAGAAAACAGTTCAAATTAGAAAAAAACAGGCTGAAAACACACTGAAACTACAACAATGACCAGGTAACGTCTGAGTGAATGCCTGCTAGTGTCTTCCATTGAGGCTGCTTCTTATGTCGCTGATGTATGTGACGTCGCGCCGTAAAGCAATTTGTGATTCTCGCGAGATCTGGCGGGACGCCACCTTTCAGACTTGCATTGCTGGTTCTGCCGGCGGCGTCCCTCTCCTGCTCCGCTATCGGGATAATTCGCTATACTACGAGTTTTTTTACCATCGAAATTACTTAGAAGCTGTTATATTAAGGTAAAAATCTTGCAAAGTGTGCCTTTAATATACATAATATACATAATAATATATAATTTGTCCTACAAAAAGAAATATTTATACACACACACACACACACACACACATACACGCCGGTTGCACTGTTGCACTGTTGCCTGCACTATTTATGCTGTTGTGCTTAAAATTCCTTTTTTCTGATTCCTTTCCAGACATGTTGGAGTTGTATTTTGAGAAGAACTGGGCTCTTCCGAACAGTATCGTCATGATCCCAGATGAACAGGCTGCCATTGTCACTTTCAGTGACCCCAAAGGTTTTTCATTTAGCTTTACTACTGATGTTCTCCCCACTGTTACCCACCCCATATTACAGTGTATTATAATGTTAATATCAGAACACACAAATAACAATTTCTTAGATGTCTAATAAAACTATAATGTATAATAACTAATATATAAATATGCTGGCAAGTACAGAGACATCGTTAAGACAAAAAACAAGAAATAACCTATTTGGTCAAAAGTATGTGGACACCTGAACATTCCATCCACATTCGATAATGTAAATGTGATTCCAACCTCATAAACAACCTCATCTTCAGTCTTTCCATCAGATTTTGAAACCTGGCTATAGGGATTTGCTTCAATGAAGTGCTGCAGTAATTGTATATATTTGTAGTCCAACTCAGAAGTTACTATCACCTTGATTTCCATGGGCTTTTGGATTATTGCAGAATATAATCTCTGCGGTGGACAAAGGTTTTAGATATCAGCAATATGGTCTTAACAAATTAATACCACTTCTATGATTTTTGAAGACAATCTCCAGAAGTAAAAAAAAAAAAAAAACTAATGTTGGGCTATAAATGAACTACACCACTGTCGCGTCACTTCAGCGTCCCCACCACTAAGCTTCCAACTTGTAATTAAATCTTGTAATTAAAATCTACAAGTTGTAAAGTTTGAATTAGAATTGTGTGAGTATAAACACAACAAGGATGTGAAAGCAGACTTGTAAGTAGTCTGTGTTTTAATTTCACCTCTGTAGACTCATTTAGCCACTTGTTATCAACTGCCTTTTTTAAGACACATAAAGTCATACAGACTCTACACAGACTACACATTGCAGTCCGTCATAGAAATTCATTATTATTTAAATGTCTTGAAGCTTCAAATAGAACAACTTACCTTTCTGTTTTTGTTCCCTGTGTTACTGCAGTGGTGAAAAGCATTTGCATGAAAGAAGACTATATGATGCGGTCCATTCCTGTCAAGGTGTGTCCACACTACGAGTCCTTGGGCACCGCCCTGTACGGTAAAGAACGACCAACATGGAAGATGCCTGAGCCCTTTACAGAGAAAGTTCACCACGTAGTCTGGAAATTCCTCCTGAAGAAGAAACTGTCAAAAAGCATCAATGATCAGATGCGTCCGTACTTCTGCAGTGTGAACTTAGATAACCTTGATGTGAAACTCATCCCGCTCCAGAGCTTTCTGAGGCAGAAAGATCTGACCGCCAAGCAAGTAGATATGTGGATGAGTACCGCCCAAGAGGCCTTCCGTCAGCAAATGTCTCAGTACACGGCCTTCGAATGTCCAGTGAATGCACCTGCGTGGAAAGCTGCAGAGAAAGAGCTCCGTTCAGTTGTCAGGGAAGACGCCGTCCTGGTGATGGATACATCCAGGGGGATTTTGACTGTGGCTGGACAAGCTGACGATATTAAACAAATCAGGGCTCCTGTGGAGAATATCGTTCTCAAAGCCATGAATCAGATTGAACGACAAACAAATGGTGTCTCTGAAGTAATGAATTTGCCCCCTGCAATGTTCGCCATCCTGAAGCAGGAAGGGTTGAAGAAAGCTGCACTGGACATTTCCCCTGACATGAATCTTTTTTACGATGAAGGCACCCAGAAGTTAACCATTGCAGGACTCCCTGCAGAGGTTTTCCAGACCAAGGCATGGATCTTGGAGAAGAATGTGGGTATGAGTAAAAAACAGATGAGTGTCCCTCCAGGTCTGTTAGACTTTCTCAAGTCAGTGGATCCCATGGAGATGCAACAGCACCTGTTCACATCCCGAGGTGTCTGCGCCATCTACAGCATTGAGAGCAAAGGAGTTTTGCTGTTGGGGAGTTCTGACAGTGTCCTTGCTGATGCAGAAAGCAGGATGAAAATGGCTTTTGCTGTGCAGACTCTGGATGTAGAAGACCCTGAAGTTCTGAAACTTGCCAACTGGGTGGGCCTCAACCAACAGCTGTTGGACACCTACAATTCCATAAAGAAGAAAACAGTGGCCATTCAGATCCACCCTGAGAGAAGAGATAAAATAACAGTGGCTGGCTTCCAGGATCCAGTGAAAGAGGTCAGCTGCAGGCTGACAGAATTTATTATGAACTACTCACTACTCGACTCCACTCAAGTTCAAGAAACCATTT